GCATGGCTGCTTGTAAGCTTTAAAAAACAAAATACTATACAATGAACTAGAAAGTAGAACAGAAGCCTGTAACACACAGACAAATTAACCAGGCTCCTCTGTGAAAATACTGCAAATTCAACTTTTTTATCGGTTTACAACTTATTAGCAATGATTACTATAATCAGCTCTGAAATAATTTCCTTAATCAATGGATTTTCCCATTACCTTGATCTGCTTTTTCCCATCCTTTCCATCTATAGTAAACTTTCCATCTCTGTACATTTGCCGTTTTCTTTTTTTGTTGTTTTATGTAAGAGAGGTCATAGAGTAGTTGTCCTTTTGTGATTGACTTATTTCACTTGGCATAGTTTCTTCTGGTTCTATCTATATGGTAGCATATATCAAGACTATTTCTCCTATTGACTGAGTAGTAACACATTTTGTTTATACCTTTGTTGATAGGCATTTGGGTTGTTTCTTCTTTTCGGTTATGATGAATAATCCTGCAATGAGCATTTATGTACAAATTTCTGTTTGAATCCCCACTTCCAAGCATTTTGCGTGTACTGGAATTAGTCATATGGTAGCACTCGTTTTAGTTTTTTGAGGAACTATTTTCCGTAATATCTCCTCTCCAATATGTATATTTTCTTTCTTTCCTGTTGGGTGTTTTATCTTCGCCATCTCAGTGTTAGTGAAATGTGACCTCATTGTGGTTTTGATTTCAGCTCTCTGATGACTAATGATGCTAATGGTTTTTCACATATTTAATGGCCATTTGAATGTTCCCTTTGTGACATATCTATTCAACACCTTTGCTGACTTTATTACTGGATATTTTGCCTTTTTGTTTTAGTTTGTTGAAGTCTCTCTCTGTTTTTTAGTAAGTAACCTCTTATAAAATATATGGTATCTTAAATTATTATTTTTTAAGTTATTTTATTGGGGGCTCGTATAGCTCTTATCTCAATCCATACATACATTCATTGTGTCAAACACATTTGTACATTTGTTGCCATCATCATTCTCAAAACATTTGCTTCTACTTGAGCCTTTGATATCAGCTCCTCATTTCCCCCCCTCCCTCACCACTCCTCCCTCTGAAATTATGTACCCAGTCAATAGTTTGTCTTTTCAATTTTTTGTTAAAGTCTTATGAAATCCAATTTGCCAACACCATTTATTCCAGAGATTCTTCTTTTTCTATCAGACGGCCGTAGCATCCTTGTCAAGCATTTAGTTGTTCATAGATGCATGAGTTTATATTTATACTATTCTGTTGGCCTGTGTGTATATTGTTACACTGATACTGTTTTGGTTACTGTAGCTGTCTAGTATGTTTTAAGATGAGCAATTCTGAGTCTTACTTGTTCTTTTTCAACACTTTATGGCAATCTGGAGGTGCTTGCCAGTCTATATCAAGTTGAGGATTTGGAGGTTTAATTGAAGCTATATATTATTCTGCATAATATTGATAACAAAACAGATATTGTTAAAATTGGAATTCCACATGTGGAGAAATCAAACATATTTTGTATCATACACATAAACAAATTCAAAATGGATTAAGGTCTTCAAATTGAACACTAAAACTGAAAAATTCTGAGAAGCATGTCCCAGGCAATGATACCAGGTCTGGTATTTAGTCATGGATTATCTAAGACTATTGGGGCCTTATAAACATTAGCACACTTTGCACAATTGACTTTTAACAAAAATATAGCAACAAATACAATTAATGAAGCTCATAGTTAAACAATTCAAAGACTATATTGCTCCTGCAAATTCTTTCCATCTGCTTCTCTTTTCTATTCCCAAATGGAATCCTGATGGTGATTTCATCGCTTAATCCTCATATGGCTTCCTACACAAATGCAGGGGGAAGAGGCGTGGGATGGTGACGTGTGGGAATATGTAAAATCTACCTTTACCTCAATGATGGAAATTCAAACACTTGTTTTATGGAATTCTAATGGAACTTCCCTCTGAATTTCAGATTCAATTCAATGAATGTTTGCTGCGTAGATGCCAAGCCCTGGGCAAGAAGTTTTGGAATTATCTTATCATTTCCAGACTTCACACAGCAAAAGCCTGTTA